CGTAGTAAATCCTGATTATCCAGCTATGAAAGTGGGATCAGGACCAGCATTTTGGCAAATGGCTCTGACTATAAAAACAAGAACTCAGTACAAAGGAGCAGTTTGTGGCTCTAATAAAACCTGTGGGATTTTTGCTGTTTACCTCACTGAAATCTGGATGTCACCAAAATGTGATCTTCTGTAGTCGCCTCTGTTCATATTCTGGTTATGAATGATGGATGAAATACCCCAGTGAAATAAAAAATGAAAAAAGACATCTTGCCAGTTATAGGGCAACCTGATGTAATTACTGTTTGCAACCTTTGCAAAAGTGGGTTTTGTTTGTGTGATTTTTCACTTCTGTGAGGAGGGAGCAGTGAAATCTATGCCCAATGTACCATAGGCAAAGACCTGATCTGACAAAATAGAAGAGCAGATTTAATTTCCATTTTGTGTGAGAGATATTTAGCATCTCTGCTAAGCTGTAATATGACACTATGCAGAAATCTATAAATGCATAACTTTCCTGAATGGCAAATTTAGTTATACTGAATTTGCTAGGTTTCCATAAAATTGCTGTAGAAGCTTTGTGGCAACAGAATTCTACATAAATGCAATTTGCAGGTTTGTCACTTTTTTAGCCGTATTTTCCATCCTTCTCATCTTTGTGTTGTGGAGAAAAACTGACTTTGTAGAATCACTGCAGAAAGTTATAAATGATGTATGAAATGAGAATTCCCTGCTCAGAGCACAGAACTTAATCTATGCTATTTGCTGTGGAAGTCAGCTCAGCTGCAAGCAGAAAAGCCCACCAAATCCAGAAGCTACAGACTAAGAAAACTAAAGCACACTCTAAGTATTTTATTTTCTACTTTGTACCTGAGGTAAGCCAGGGCATGGTATTTCCAGCTGCAGAAATTCGTGGGGAGGGCAGGCACTCACAGCTTGGGTGTGCTGGGGTGTCCTGTGCAGGCTGTGGGCTGAGGAGCCTGCCTTTAGCTGAGAGAGGGGATACAGGGATAGCTGCAGAAGAAGGAGTGGGCTTAATCCCCCTGACACTGTATGGCCACCAATGAAACAATACTATAAAATGCCCCATTGTTTTTTTAGGATTTTTCAAGTTGGAGTCTCTTTGTGTGTGTAGTGGTTACAGCACTCGTGTGGGATCACTTGTCAGCATGACACAGTTTATGTCACCTTGCTGGATGGACAGAATCCACAGCTGCCTCTGTCATCCTGCAGGATCCAGCCCGTTGGAGAAGTAGGTGCTGCAACAGCAAAAAGTAATCCTGAAATGATGCAGTTATTTCCCTCTCCTTACCCACAGATTTTTTCAGGCTCCTACCTAAAATCTACAGTTCTTCACTAGAGTTAGGGAGGCTACTGTTGGTTGTGTCTTTCTGTAAAGAAGGTATTTTTTCACTTGTCTGAAACTCTGTTTTCCAGTTGCTTCAGCAGAAAGATACATTAGCCCTTCCTATGTATAGGAATAATCAGCCATTTTATGGTGGAAGCAGCTTGCAAATAACTTTAGTGGTTCCTAAGAAACAAACATCTCTGCCAAGTATTTGTAGTGGGGAATGCAATATACAGGTAACAGCAAGCCTTGATTTATCTCACTCTTTATTTGTCTTGTTCTCTCTACTTTACTGTGAGCTCCTTGTCCACTGTGGATACCTGCTGAGAAGGATGCTGAGGGAAACTTCAAATTCTGTAATCCCAGAGTCAAACCTGGGCAGGAGGAGAGAGCAGCAGGTCACAGGCTGAAGTGGTCAGATTCTAACCTTGACTTTGGTAAGAAATCCTTTTGGAAAGCCGTCTGTGCTGATGTCCCCAGATTACTGCAGGACTCTCTGTGGCTACAGACACCTTCAGTAGCTGCTGTGCATCCCAGAGCAGCCTCAAGTTCTGAAGGATGAAGTGTTTAAATGTGCACAGAGGGTCAACTTGGAAAGACCAGGATTTATTTACAGGACAGTTGGCCTGCAGTCTAGCACACAGAGCTCCTGCTTATATCCTAGGTAAAATAGATGACTTGGCACTTGGCAAGTGCTACAGATATCGCTAAAAAGGTGTTTCTTGGCTCATCCATCTCTTGCAAGGTGCAGAGGAACTGTGGCAGCTATATAAAGAGTTTTGGGAAAAATAGAGACACATGAGTAATGGAGTAGTAAAACTCAGTTCAGCTCCTTGGCACTTGCAAACTCACAGCCAAGCCCTGCGGCCTTAACTTGGGGAAAAAAATTATCTGGAGAAATCAAAGGAAGTTTTAACTTAGAAAGCCACTCTACTACTTGCTTGTTCTAGGGTAGGTTTCAGCAGCAAAGGTCCCTTTCTTTAGCTATAGAGGCTGTGACTAAGGGCAAGTAATTCCTTTTAATATCACAAATGATGCAAAATTAATCAGAAGCACAATTTTAATAGCTAGAAAAATCTGCCACATTATTAAGAACAGCATCTAAAATGCTGAAGAAAACTATAATCAACTGCTAAAGCACGTCTTGGGGAACTAAAGGGGTTTATAAATAATCATTAGAATAAAATGCTCCCTGCCGTGAGGCACATCTCTTATTATGTCTCCTATGTCCCTTTCGGCTTTCTCACTGCATCATCAAGCATGGATTAAGGTCAAATAAATTTAGGATGAGTGAACACAACAGTCTTGACTAAGTTTCTAAAATGTGAAGGACATGATCTTGTGAGTCGAACAAGTGTAGTGTATTCAATTGCACTAAAATACCCAGATTTGAACTGGTTCATTAGACCCTTTCACAAGAAAAATTTATTGACAACATCACTATGCCAATAAATTCACATATAATGAGAATAATGCATATAATTATGTCAACATAATGAGGAATAATTATGGTGAAAATGAATATGCCCCCTCCTATTTTTAAAGTACTTTATGTATTTTTCATGTTTGAAATTATAACTGTTGTATCAGGAGATACTCCAGATTTGAGCAAGCAAGCATTATGTTACATAATATTATTCTCATGTTTATTGACATTTCTCTTAAAAGAAGTTAGATTCCTAAACCTTTTTAGGTTTTTATTGTGTTAGTATGATGTGGTTTGTGCCTCCCTTACAACCATGACATTAATACCAATTCTAACTTATAGCTTAAATAGATCTTCCTGATGCTTATCCTTAGCAGTGTTTCCAGAAAGCAGCTAGCTCCCAGTCACCGGCTTGCTTAGGCCAGGCTTGTTCACCTCCTACTCTAAAAGAGACTCTGCTGCCCAGATGGGATGATGGGGAGCTGTGGAGGATGCCTATGGGAAGTGCCTTCAGCAGTACCAGAGCTGAAAGAGGGAGGGCTATGGGTCAGTCTTAGTCGGCACTGGAGGAGGATAAAAACCTGACAGCCGTGTGGAGACAATGCTGACCAAACCTGAGAGATTAAACTTGATCAGAAAGCATAAATAAATTAGGTGCAAGGAGAGCTGGTGGGAGCTTCCACAAACCTAGACAGAGAGAAATAAAGCTTTAGAAGGGAAAAAGAACTGAATGTGACCAGAGAGAAGGTGTCTGCTGCAAGCAGAAGAAAACCTGTTTCAGTATCAGCAGTGAAGGAGAGTGCAGTTTTCCCAAAGAACAAGCCTCCAGACAGCTCCCTGGGCTCCCTTAGCTTGGGCAGAGGGACACTTCCCTGTGGCAGCATGCTGTCTCTGCAGAGATGGAATCACAGGCTCCCCAGTCATAGATTTCAGCCCATCTCTATTCTCTGGCACTGGGCTGAATGCAGTCTCTGTTCTGTGCTGCTTTTCAGCCTCGCTTCTGAGCTTTATCTCCCAGGCTTTTGCTGACCTCCTACATATTTCGCGTTATCCTCTGGTTTCTCAACTGATGTTATTATTGATGTACCAGGGTTTTTTTTGAGAATAAAGTCTGTATGTTTTTTATAGCTCTGCACACCAATCTTGCATTTTATAATGGGTACTGCAGTGAGCAGTTGTTAACTGTAGATGCTGTTGTCTGTTCAGCAAGTTACAATTTTTTCTGCATTTTCTAATAGCCAGAGTGGTTAAGATGTGTAACTAAAAACTGCCCCAAGCTATAAATGAAGGCCAACAATGTTTCCAATGTTTGTTTGGACTTTTGATTTGTTTTGTTTTAGATTAGCAAAATCTGCTTTATCATTTTGAGGGTAGAAAGGGAACTGATTGCAATAAAAGCAGAACAAGATTTATAGCATGTTCTTATAAATCACAGGCACACTGCTCTGCCAAATTATGTAAGATGTGGCATGTCACATTGTTCTGTTCCTCTCATGATCTATGGTGCCATATGGACCTAAAAAAATAGGACTATTATATGGATTTCTGCAGCATAATTGGCATTGACACTTGTATTGATTGAATAAATGAAATAACATGCACAGTTCTGACAATCTTTGCAGATTTCTAAGATTACAGCCATGATGATTCTATGTCAGCAAAAAAGTCTTTAGGAATTTAAAATGAAGCCATAGCCAGTTCATTAATATACATATGTTTGAAATTGCAGCCCTAACAATTGAGTTCTCTGCACTGAATGCTATAATATATATTGTCATGAGCTATATGCCCTCAGATCATTTCTGTGAATTACAAGAAAATTATGGAGTAGAGAACATTTTATTATTGTGCTTTTCATCCAGGGATACAGCTTTTCACTGATGAAAATTGAAAACACAGAAAATTAAAATGTAAATGCATTTATCAAAAGAAGAGGAAAAAATTGAATCCTGAACTTTAACTGCTTTTGCATTTTACTTCTTCAAAAAGCAATTTTGATATTTACATCTGAAAAGCACAAGTAGTCAGGCTCTGTAATATCTATTTGGATTCTTACTAATAAGTGACTGGCTGTTTGTTGCTGGGGGTCTGAAGATTTGTTTTAGTAAAACAGCATGGAAAGCTGTGTGGGTGTTTATTTGTGTATGTGCACATTCTGAGAGACAAACAAAATAATTATACATTTATTTAGTGTTTCTCTCCTTTCTGTTAAAGACGTTCTCTTTGTGTTTTTTACAGGTCAGTGCCACATTACAAAGGATGTGAGTTACTCATGTCTTTGCACAGAAGAAAGAAAAGACAGAGAGCGATGAACACTAGAAGCTCTTTACATGAAATTTAGCACCTAATAGACAGGAAAAATGCATGATTTAGGATTTATTTAAGCTGTTTTTTTTTTTTTTCTTTTAGTTTCAAAAAATATGTATTGCTTTTTTGGGTGGCACCCTGCCTTAACCGAGGATATGTTAACAGCCCCTAAGGAGAAGCTCATATGCTGAAGAAGACTGAGGGCTCAGTTTCCTGCAGAGGAAGAGTGCTGGATGTAGCATGGAAGCAGGCAGGCTGTGCAGCAAACTGAGACATCCTGTGCCTCTGGTGCTGCCGTGTAATGTAAGAAAATAAGAGGTTCATTGTGTTATCTGAACAGAGATTGTGCCTGTTTGTGCAGTCCTTGCTGTATACAAAGCCAGAAGAGTTGACTCCCTGTAGCTAAAATCCATCCAAATCCTCTACAAGTGACACAGGTAACGAGTAGGTAAATCCTTTGTATCCCATTTTCACTGCTTTTGTAGCTCCCTTCTCTTTCTTTTTCTTAACTTTGGAAGCGTATTTTTTCTGGTGGACATTTTCTGAACTCCTCCATGCTGAGTAACAGTGCTAGATCTCTTAGATTTAAGTGACAAACCTGACAGACTTAAGGATCTGATGCCAAAACTCTCCCCCATGTGTAAATACAGAAGAGGCACCAGAAGAGAAAATGCGTGCTGTTGTCCCTTCCCTGCCTTACAGTAGACGTTTCTGCATCTTTGGTTTGACCATGTCTGCCTCTTTTAGTGCTTCCCATTGTATTTGGAGGACAAGTTTAAACTTTTCTAAATATTTTTAATTAACTTTACAATTCTAAGGTGATAAGTAAGCATAAGGAACACACATAATATTATACATGATGCAGTATCTATCACAGAATAATTGGCACCAAGCAAAAGTTATTGCCAGTTATTGCCTTTTAGGCTCTCAGATACTTAAATGGTTGAGAATTTTCTGCATTCATATTTCAAAGAAAAAAACAACTTGCCAAGCAAAGAGATTGAAAAATTATATCTGTTTATGCTGAATATGTTCAGATCATTTCTAGAATGAAAGAAAATCTGGTTTCATTATCTTTATTTAAGAACAATTACTCACAATTTGAGCTGAGTTTTTTGTAGAAAAACTTTATTTTTTGTTCTATTTAGGTATCTGATACTTCTTTTTACTTTGAAAGGAAAATTACGTCATTGATGCAGATGTGTCAGACAGTGGAATATCTTGGGCTATCAAAACAGACTACACCAGTCATGATCAGAAACATTTTGCTTCAGCATGTAAGCCATTATTTCTATAAAATCATTCATATTCTTAGGATTTAACAGGCATATTTGGTGAATTTATTTACATTTTTCCAATGTTTTATTCATTTCTTGTTTCAGTTTTATCTCTGTTATTTCTGTTCCCCTGTCTTTCTTGAATTTATGATTAGTGTTTCTTTAGGCAACAAAACAATACATTCCAGATCAAGAGTTATGCAAAGACATAGCACTTTTTGAGGAATAAAATGATTCAATAAAATATCAGTATTCATAGCAAGTTTTCTTTCCTTGCAAGAGATGTTGTAGGCAAAAGTTATACTTAGACCAAAATAAAAACTATCCAAAGAGCAGAGGAAAATGGAACAAACAATAGATGTTTGTGGAAAATTCCAGTCACTACCTGGATCTGGATACAATTGGCAAAGAAGACAAAAGAACTAATGGCATGGATTTAATGGATCAAGTTTCTCTTCTGCAGTTCATCTCCTCATTAATGGCCCATGAAAAGTGAAGACCAAGATATTTGGACCAAAGAGCTGCCAGAGACTAAACCAACCATTACCTCTTGAAAGATTGCATCATTGATGCTTTAAATTAAAACTTTATTGCCATTGTAAAATGTCTGTGAGTTACCCAGAGAAAATAAAATATATGGTTTCCAGAGAGTGGTCATTATTTTTCAGCTAAATAAGAAATGTCCTTTTCCCTTGGGAGCAGTGTGAAATGGAGCCCTCTGTAGGTCTTCCTCAGCTAGATTCCTGGCCAAAGACTATTCTACCTTTTCCATGCACATCTGGTTCTTTGTTCCTTTTGAAAGAGGTGAATCAAGGTTTGGGTCACATCTGCAGGCCCTATTATAACAGTAAAATAAAAAGAACCATATTTTTTTATGGGAGAAAGTAATTTTTCAACTGATCCAAGACCAAGATAGGGGTTGTTTAGCCTGGAGAAATGGAGACTCAGGAGGGACTTGTTGCTCTCCACCACTACCTGAAAGAATATTGTAGACAGGTGGGGGTTGGTCTTTTCTCCCATGTAACAAGCAATAGGACAAGAGGAAATGGCCTGGAATTGTGTCAGGTTTAGACTGGATATTAGAAAACATTTCTTCACTTAAAGGGTGGCCAAGCAATGAAACAGGCTGCCCAGGGCAGTGATGGAATCACCATCCCTAAAAGTGTTCAGAAAAGGTATGAATGTGGAGTTTGGGTGTTGAATCTCAGGAATCTGGAGTTTTTGAGCTTTCTGTGCTTCCAGGCACAGACACCCTGGAAAACACTGCTCTGGACCTGAAACCTTGGAGAAGGTTTGTAAATATAACTAATAAGTTAGAAATCACAAATGTGTGGTGGGTTAGATGTGTGTGTTTTCACTGGGTGATGGGTTTTAAATCTGAGGTTTTTACAGTATAGTGGTAGTTATGAGACAAGATGGAGAATTTTGGGTGGTGTTTTTTCTTCTTGTTCATCTTCTTCTCTTCCTTCTTCTTCATGGAACTTACGCAGTAACCTTTGGATTGGTCAGTCTAAAGTCACTCTAAGGGTCATGGGAATCTATTATTGGGTCTAAAGTATAAATAATAAAGTGTAAAACTTTTATTGGTTTGTTTAGCTTCAAAAGGCCTTGAAGCAATCTCAGCTGTAGCCATTTTTCCTACTTCTAGCAAGGAGCTAGAGGTGCTTTCTGTAATTTTTGGTAATATATAATAAACATCCAAGTCTGAACATGAGAATCCGTCTCGATTGCCTTTCTGATAATCCTGGCTGTGAACAGAAACAGAGGAGATTGATGACAAACCACTAATTAGTGGTGCAAAGGCCAGCACACTCCCACATTTGGGGACATGGGTAAGTGATGGACTTGGCAGTGGTGAGTTAATGGTTGCACTTGATGATCTCAGAGGTCTTTTCCAACCTCAACAATTCTGTGATTCTGTGAGACTGTGGTTTAGTGGTGAAAATGGCAGTAATAGGTTAGTGGTTGGACCTGTTGATCTTAAAGAACTTTTCCAACCTAAACAAATCTGTGATTCTCTGACTCTATGGTACAACCTTCTCCTGCATCTAGCATGGGGTGCCATGGGAGAGAACACCACTGCCTCAGGCTGCTCTGTACCTGCCTGTCTTACATCAGCAAGGCAAATACTTAGAGACCTAAATACCAGCATGGCCCACAGGGGTTGGAGTCAGCAGTTTTTGGGCTACAATTCCCTAACAGGAATATCAGTGGCCCAGTGACCACAGTGGGAGGGGGAGCCCAAGCAGGTGCATGTGGAGAGTGGCTGTTCAAGAATCAAATATTTTTTGTGTGAAAGAGAAGGTAATGTTTTAATGAAGACACCGAGGTTTGGATTTCCATACTGTAATTCAGGAGCATTCAGGCCTAGCTTCAAAATATCAGTGTGCAAGGGAAATACCTTAATAATTGCTGGATGAAGTGGCACAGCTTAGCTCCAAAGAACTACTTTATGCTGGGCAAAATGGCTCTCACAGGCACTCAATCACAAGACTTCCTGTTTCTGAATAACAGAAATATTCTCAGCTGAGAAATTTGGTCACGGAGAGTATCCTGGCAGCTTGAGAAACAGCCACTTCTCTGTGAATAGCAGGGAATGTAGCATTTGAAGCTCTTCTGTTCAGGAATGAATGGGACTGCTTTCCAGGACACAGTGTAAGGATGTGGGTTTTTTTCTCCTTTAATTAATTAATTAATCTATTTATTTACAGTGAAAATTGGATCACTTGTGAAGACTCTTAGAAGACTCCATCTCACCTTCCTGGCCAGAAAGGTTCAACCCTAAATTCCACACCTTTCCCCCAAGGGAGAGGCCCAACAGCTACAATGCTGGTACAAGAGCTGGGGTAGGGTGTGAGGGGGAAGAAAGCATCTCTTGTTTCTCTGACTGAAGCTGTTCCACTGTGCAGAAACACCTTCACAAGTAAAAAGATCAATCAGGCACCAAGAGAAATATATGACTGTACTATCTAGCAATTTGAACAGCCACCTGGCAGAAGGAAATCTACATATCACCCCTCCATCAGGCTCTTTCTGCATGACTTTATGTGAAAAAATTACTGGAAAGCATATAAAAAAATATGACCCTCTGATCTTTCTTTCCACTTTTTATTTAATTGGATCCACTTTTTATTTAATTGGATTGTATGTAAGTGCTTTGCATAGGAGAAACCCTTGTCAGAAGTGTGAAGCTTTTCCTGCTGAATGGAAAGATGCTCAATAAGGTGCTCATGTCTCATAAGCTAAGCTCCAAGTCGACCTTTGAACCTACAAAACAAAGAGCTGCTTTTAAAACATGTCACAATTGCAAAGTATGAAATCAAAACTAGGTGTTGGTGGCAATAACGTCTGCACATCCCTGGTATTCCCTACAGAGAAACAAAGTGCAGGCAGCCTGAGAGACTTCCTGGTAGTCTATACACAGCACAACCCTTTCAGAAAAAAACTTCAGATAGAAATTAATAATGTTCCTTCTTCCCATCTCTGTCTTGTTCTTTGTCCAGCTTTGGCCTGACTGCTTATACAGCTGAGAAATTCAGGTCTCAGTGCCTTGCTGATTTTGTGCAAAGGTTTTCTTCAAGCTCTCCTTCATTTCCTAGATTTGAGCTTTCTGTGCTTTACTGGCATGCATCTACGGCTGGACAATTCCCAGTATTGAGCAGCATTATGCAGAGCTTTTTGTGAGGTTAGGAAATGAATCTGAAACTTAACAACCATTGTTTATCTCATTATGTGCATCTTCAGAGAGCCAAGAGCAGCCTTCACAGTGCCACTGCTGTGTGTTTTAATTCCCAGGTTGCTGTTTGGAGCAGAAGTACTGTGGATGGATGGAAGGCAGCCCCAGCCTCACTGCCCTGTGTGGCTGCAGCTCCCAGCTATCCTCAGTGAGCACAGCATCCTTTATGCCTGCCTAACAAATTCACTTAAAGGAGCATTCACTCAGAGGCTGGCATTTTTTTTACCCCCTCATTTTGTCAGATGGATGAATGTCATGTCAGCCAAGGACAGATGAAGGTTTGAAATATTACAAGCAGAAGCCTTTCCCTAAGATAATATAAAGCCAATTTTTGCAAGCGTATCTCTGAGGAGGAAATAGGCTGGAGATTATAATGAGAATTTTTTTCTAGCTGTAAAATTTTGTTAAGATGCAAGCAAAAAAGAAAACAAACTATCCACTAAACCTATCAAACTTAGCTCAGTACTGAAACTCCACTGTTTCTTAAGACAATACTTCTTGAAATTGCCACATCATTCAATTTTAAGTGATTTGCATACCAAATGCAAAAAAAATGATTAACTGGAAACTTCCCCCCTACCCCCTCTGAGACATATGGTGAGACAGCAACAGAAATGATGGATGTAGTGGATGATTGCTTGCTGAACCAGTGTGTGAGAAACTATGCTAGGAATAATTCATGTCAAGACATGGTCTTAACTAAAAGACGTATTAAAAACAACATCTTGACAGGTTTAATATCTTACATGATACACATAATCCGTGACTTCTAAGGCATGCGATTATCTCTAAACGTGATATTTCAGTGGAACTTCAATTTTATGAAAAGATTTCAAGAAATGCTTGATCTAATGTTAAATCAACCTTTCACAAAATAAAGGAAACTTCAAGTCATTCTGAGATATGGTATGGCCTCATCTTTATCTAATACTGCTTCAAATCAGTAGTGATTCCCCAGAGAAAGCAGAGTAACAATGGTATGAAATAGGTGAAAGTGACCCAATAAACAGGATAATGAGGCATCTTGGATAAAAATGCATTTCATACAAGCAAAGGATTTAGTGCTTTGCCATGATGAGAGCCCACTGATACCTTTGCTAATACAGCAGACGTATTTCACATCTATTTCTGTCACCTGTATTTTATTTAAGAGTAAATTTTACAATATTTGAAGTGACAAAACTAAAGTTGGATGTGTAACAATGGAAATCAGATGATGCTAGCAAGTAGAACTGGCATTGCTTACTGCTGTAATTATTTTGTGGTTGTTGAAACAGTTACAAGATCAGTAACAGTGGCTTCTAAACTGGCCACTTGGTTGTATGTCACCATGAACAGAAATCCTGGGTGAGGGGACAGGGGACTGAGCTGGGACATATGGACTGCTCCTCACCTAGCATGGGATCCTGGGCATGACAGTTTTCTCATGTCATCTCTTGTTTGTCTCACAAGCTGAGAAAGCTGTCCTTGACTAAAGGAATTTTAAAGCATTTTACATAGTCATTGGCCAATGAAATCAGCTAATAATAAGTAAAGGCTACAAAATGTCTTCTATTCCATAGTGGTTTTCATCAAAGGACAGGATTCTCGAGAAGTGAAAGAAAGAGAATTAGGATCAGCATGCAGAAGGGCCAAGTAAATCTGTATTTCATACAAGAGATATACAGGTATCTCTGAGGTTAGGTAAAAAGAAGATTGTCCTCTCTTACTCTCATCTCTCTAATTTGTGCATCTACTTGCTTTTTGAAATTAAATTGGGTCAAACTTAGCAAAAGCTAGAGCAAAAAAATCTTATGCACCCTATAGTGACATGGAGTTTAACAGATGCTGACCAGATGGAAACAGCCATTTTTTTTTTCACATGATCTAGCATTGTCAGTTGAAAAGTATGCAGTTTT